TAGGATTTGACAGTGCTCAATCGCAATGCAAGACCCGCACAGAGCTGCACTCGCTCTTGCAATGCGCCGCCTAATAATGATACCTGTGGAGGAGACGTGCACATCAGTCTCGCGTAGCGCTTGCTCGACGGCACCAGTTTCTGCAACGTCGAACCATTCTCACTGCGCGACCCGATATTGGCGAACGCAACAATCCGGCGAAATCTGCGTTGGCAAAGCCTGGTTTAGCCGCGGCAAAACATTCAGCCTCCCTTTGGCCTGGAGAAATCGAGAAACACCCAAAATAAAATAAAATTTGCGACGAGAATAAAACATGATTTCTGTTTATTAAGCTGCACACCACCCGCGAACATCCAATACTTGATATCCGAATTGCAAGGCAGTATGCCTAGTCCTGGCACTTGTTTGTCGACATTGGACCGTAGCTGCCAGATGACAACCGAACTATCAGGAAGCGAAGCCTAACTTTGGCACTTGTTGCGTGACTCATGCCCAAAGATGCCAGATGTCAGCCGAACTACACGGCAGTAAGACTAACTCCGGCACATCTGTGTCGATTTTGGCCGGAAGGTGCCAGATAAAAGTCGAACTTTCAAAAAGGTTAGCCTAACTTTGGCATTTGTTTGGTAATTTTGGCTCAAAAATGCCAAATGTCATTTGAAGTACCGGACAGTAAGCCTAACTCTGCCACATCTGTGGTGATTTTGGCCCGAAGATGCCAGATGAAAGTCGAACTATCAAAAAGCTAAGCCTAACTTTGGCATTTGTGTGGCAATTTTGGCCCCAAAACTGCCAAATATCAGCCGACGTACCAGGCAGTAAGCCTAACTCTGGCACTTCTGTGGCGATTTAAGCCCTAAGGTGCCAGGTGAGAGTCGAACTATCAAAACGTTAAGCGTAACTTTGTCATTTGTTTGGCAATTTTGGCCCGAAAATGCCAAATATCAGCCGAAGTACCTGGCAGTAAGCCGAACTCTGGCATTCGCTAAGCGATTTAGGCCCAACGATGCCAGATAACAGCCGAACTACAAGGCAGTGAAGCCCAAGTTTGTCACTTGTTTGGCCATTTAGGGCCAAAATACCCGGACCCTTGCCAAGGAACCTCAGGTTTGGCTCTACTTTTGCTTCTGCGGGCTTTTCAAGGCCCTAAACTCTTAGACAAAAGCCAAATTTTGGGCCACAACTCTATGCTACCTGGGTCGTCTTTATTTTTTACCCTATTTTACAAAAAAAAAAGTGACCTGCAGTAGCAGTCGGTGCGAAGCATGTCAGGGTGCTTTAGCGCTAGTTGTACGTCGAAAGAACAAGTCACACTAAACATGTTTTCTTGTGTTCGGATGACTCCACAATCATGTGATGTCAAATGAGTACTCTTCAGCAGATGTGACTGTTTGAAATCAAGCAATCACAGAAATACTTCATCTGTATTCTATGTATCACGTCCGCTATGCACCACGGTACAAAAACGTTCCAAAAATGAGCAGTAATATAATTGGGGAAAAGTTCGCATTCTAGCACTAACTGACATGTGCACTAACGTGTGCTACGCTCATCAGGTTAAGTGCACTCTCTTTCATTTAAATACTGGAGCAGGGTGACCTAAAAAATCAACATCAAACATCGGGAGCCAGAGCTGCGGCTACTCTCGGAGTTCCAATCACGCGGCTATATCGCTCGGTCCAAAGCGAGGACATTATCGTCTAAACAAAGATCTAGTTTAATCGTAGAGATGCCTTTCACACACTGCAGTGTCTGTTTTGTAGTAGATAATAATAAAAAGCACCTGTTGATCTCCGCTATGCCACAGAGCCGTGACCCAAGGACTGCTATGCTTGTCAATTGGTTGGCGCAAAATTAGCTCCGTCAGAGCAAATTTTAAAAATGTATTTAAATGTCATATGATTGAGAAGTGTTAAAAAAGCTTGAAAATACAGCAAAATTATGAATGGATTACAAATGTTGTTGAGGGGAAGCGTGCAAATTTACGTGTGATAGAGCTGGTTCAAATACAATTTTAATTTAAAAAAAGCGCACACAGATCTTTAAATTACCGACTTTCCCTTTCTGTGCTCTTAAATCAGAGTTTCAACGCGTAGCACATACAAAATGAGTTATAATCCTCCTCCCGGTAACTTTTTGGTCATTTTTTCTTAAATGACGAAAGGCATTGTTTAGTTTTGTACTTTAGGCAGTATTGTTTATTCAGAAATCGATTCTTTGTTTAACGATGCTATAGTATATTTGTGTCTTTTATAGGCCTCTCATTGCACCGTGATGAACAAGGGCTTAGCGCTTCCAAGTAATTTGTCGTTTATTTTATCAACATTGACTGTGTCCTCCGCCTGGCTTAAATTAATGCGGTTCATTCTATTTTATACTTCGTTACAACTTCTGTGAATATCATAATCCACACGTGTGAGCTCACAGTTCAGCACGCGCATGTTAGTCCCTTGGGAAGGCAGGTAAAGCAAGCGCCAGAGTCACAAACACTGAGAATGTCACCGACAAGAATCACTTTTCTAGAATGATTTAAATACGTTGTTTTCCTAAATTACTTAAGCACCACGGAGGAAGCTGCATGTATAGTTACAAGTTCTGTCGTCTGCAATAGTAAATTTCTAGAGAATAACTAGAACAAATTCCACTTACATTCAGTTAAAGCGATTGAGTGCAACACTGCTCACAATCCAAGCCTGCATAAAAAGTTATGAAAAAAAAACACGATTTGCGCAACTCGATGAGAGTTCCATAAACAGTTCCATCAAACTCCCCAATGCTTATGCTTCTTCTCACAGTTCTCCACGTAGGTTAGTATTACATGCTGTGTGAATAGAGGCTAATATTATGAACTTCAGACAGCACAAACGTCCCTGTTTGCTAGCTGTCAAACGCGATCACCGTGAACACAAGCGTACCTGATCTCATGCCGTCGCCTTGCTTCCTGCCAGTGACGTCACGCTTGGATAATGCGAAAAATGAAAAAAAAAAAACACGACAAAACTAAGTTTTGATTTCGTTATCCAACCAAGTGAGACATTTTTTTTTAAATTTACTGAAGTGAAGCTGGGGGACTAAGATAGTATTTAGGAATCAGGAGGCTACCGATATTCAAATGACGCCCTTGGATTAGATAACAATCGAGTGTTTTTAAGTTAATTTGGCAGTTCGTTTTTCTCTAATTCCGAAAATAGTAAGTTTGGAATTGACGGAACTTTGTGGCCTCCATTTTGCTTTATTGACAAAATAAAATCGGCTATTTTTAACTTAGACAGAAACTACCGCCTTGTTTATTATGACCGAATCATAGTATATGTGTTGAAAGTTGCTAAAACATTGTTCACACATTTTTTTGCTCTACTTTGACGCGCCTTCAACTTGTTGATGGTCATAAACACTTATTACACTATATCCGAACTAAATAGGGTCATTTCGTGATGCCTGGTTTGGCTATCGTACAAAATAGCTCGTATCTAATTATTGCATTTGGGAAAAGAAAAATACTACGCCACAAACTCTTTCTACCAGTGCACGTGTACTCCCGGATAAAAACCTAAAACAAAAAAGCTCTTCCTCCTCAGTCGTTTCCAGGCTGATTACATAACCCCAAAATTTTAATATTATTAGCATAAAGACGCCTCTATTGTGGCGACTCAACTGACTTAATTCGGAGCCATTTATCGGGAAGCCTACCATTGAAAACAAGGATTAGGCAGAGATTATTGATTTTAGAATAAAGATGACTGGAATGAATAGCGCTAAGTTAGATTGAACGGTTTAGCAATCGAGGAATGTTAGGTATTCTTCTGGGGGGGGGGGGGGGGGGACGACCTGACGCTTGATCAATAATGCGTTTGGCATTTAGGACTAACTTTAAAACAAGGGGGCCAGGAAGGCAAAGACTTAAGAGCTTCCTCGGAGTTCTGAGATAAGAAGTACTGCAATCGCACCGGCACATTGCTTCTACAGCCATCCCAAATGAGCTCACTAATGTTTATACGATGATCCAGCCTTGATTTGTTAAGCCCAGGAATCTAATTGCGGAAGGAGCCCTGAACGATGAGACTACCGAGGAACCCTAGCTCCAGATAATGACAGGAGCATAATTACCTGAAGATTTTTTTACATAGCCCTTTTTTAGAGCTTCCCGCTTGAGACTGTCACTTTAGAACGTGGCCAAGCATCAGATAAATCGTTTAGAGGACCTAAAGACAAGTCCATGCAGATAGCAACGAGCTTGAGCAGGGGATAACACTTTTAAAAGACTAGTTCCTGTCGTTTTCTTTTTTTTTAGGGGTGAACTATATTTGAAGGTAATAGTTTCGTTTCGAAATCCCCAAGATAGAGGCACGTTTGCCCAAGAGCTGAAGTGAAGAGCTGAATTGTGCATATCAAAATTCTTAAAATTTACGTGGACGCGCGTGACGAAGGAGAACATGTCAAGTTTGAAGCACCTTAATATTGCTCAGGATCAATAAAAATGGTGAAAGGAATCTCGGAACAAGAGACATGCACATCATAAGACACCTCCTAACCTTCTTAGGCCGTCACTTAATAGAATATTATTAAAGTAATTATGTAAATGATAATAAATGTAGAACATCCTGCTGACTGATACTCAGCTAGGAGAGTAGCTAGCTAATAAACAGCAAATTAGTTACGTATCTAATTATTAGGCAGTCGGTTAAATTGTAGGCATTTCCGGCCCACTAGACATAAACAGAAAACGGAAATATATAAAAATATAAAAATACAATACAATTAGCATAGCATTTTGCCTTTCCTGACAAATATAGAAACTTACAATGTAAAAAAAGGCATCGCATGATAATAAACAAAATTAATATAAACCCTTACGTTACGGCTGTGGGGAAGACACTGGAACGTATAAAACCAGCTGTGTCCGGTTGTTCTTAAATATGTGTTATGCACGTTCCCAATGTAGCTAGAGAACAAAATGTCCGCAAAAAATCCTAATGTGAATTCTTTTAATCCACACGCAGAATGTCAAACTTTCAAGACGCCCCTGACAAGGAGACAAGACCGTGACAACCCCCCAGGGCACAGCCATCCACAAGTGTCGTCTGCGTTGTGGTAACCTTCATCGGGAGTGGAAAGACGTCAGGTTCAAGCCTGGAGTTAGTGCGCGCACAGGACTGGAAGAGTGTGCATCACATTCCTCAACGGGGGACACATTGAGGGCCGTGAACGTTCAACAACGTTTGTTGCAGTTGCCGCCGTCTATGTAAGGTTTTCTACCTAATCCACCAAAGTCAGACACGAAAACGAAGTTTCAGGACATTCTCTCTGCAGAGAGCCAGTCGTCTGCTTCTTGTGCAGAAGTTTCGCTGACGTATAAAAGACGTCGAACTTTGATTGGCTTTGATTAAAAGGGTAGTGAGTAGATTGGAATGCTAGATGCCTTGAAGTTTAAACTTTAAACACATATTTTTCAATCAGTCAGTAAGAGCTCGGCGTTCTGACATCACCGCAACCCCTGTGCAAGAAGTAGACGAACTTGCGCTCCATATTGCGAACTGATGATTGTGGTCGCGCTCAAAGTGCGCATGTAGTACGTCGGTATCCGTACCGAGAAGGAAAATGTTGATTCATTTGTGCATGGTTGATCCTCAGATTTGGAAGCTACAACTGTGTCATTGCCGTTGGGCGGCGCGTCAGGAAAAGACTATATATTTCACCGGGCAAATTACTTTTACGCAGTTATTTTGCATCGAAATATCTTATGCGGGTCCTTTATTCTAAAAAAAAAAAAAAAAAACGCTTCCGCGTATTTTTGCAGTTGCTGCATATATTAGGGTTGAATGTCGATTTAGATTATTAAATAGGGTTTTCCAGCTCAAAAATCTTTGTGAAACATTTGGAGTTAAACTTACAAGAGGTGAAAAGAAAATAAATTAAAACCTCAAAGAACAATTACTGTTATTTTACAATGATTTTATGGCGGCTTGGAACTCCGAACGGTGTAAATATCGCTTCTTTAATAATCCATCAATAACAATAGATAAAATATTTGCCGGAAAATGGTCCATTAAAAAAAAAAACTCTTTGACCAAATGAATGGTAAAATGCGTTACGCTCACAATTGGAGACGCCCACATTGAACAAATGATCAATGCGGGCTCAAATATAAAATGATGGCGTGAAACGTCTGATGGTGTAAGTACGGGTTGATATGATATATCTTGTGAAAAAGACAAGCGAGCAATTGTTATTAACAAAATTAGAACCTTTGTTTTATGAAATAATTTTACAGCCATCTTTCTTAGTTCAATGGAGTATGAAGGTTGAATACCCAAACATCTGGTGTTTTTTTTATAAAAAAAGAACTAAGCATTTTTCTCGTGAACTTAAGAAAGAGTTTGATCATCTGTCGGGAGACGTGCTACTTGATATTTTCTGATGGAAGTTTCAAGTGAAAACGGCCTCATATAGATAATGCTAGTGAGCACAATGTTGTAACTTGGAAACTGTGACTGCTTTCTTCTTTCGTTATTAGAATGGATATTAGTTTTCTTATGTTGATAAGTGCTTTTTGTAGATTCAAAAGAGTGCCGACATTTGTGGTACTGTCCCTCACAATTGTATAAACAATACTTTAAGCATGATTTTTGATTATCAGTGCTATATGATTGTGTTCGAGTAAAAGGGCGAATTATAATATTATTTAAAAACATATTGGCTTATATTAAGGACGATATTTGGGAAAATAATATAAGTGGTGTATATACTGTATAAAACTTCTTGATATTACGAAGTCGCATGCTGGGGTGTATGTACTCCAAAGATATGTACAGTAGATTTTGTTTTGACTCATCAAATAAATTGTGAGATGTATTGTTCACCCATTAACATTTTCTGCTTTCATTGTTTTTTTTATTTTATTACCGTTTATTTTCAAGTATAGGTCTAAGGAACAAACAAAGGATATGTGACGTGATCCAGCTTAGTTCTATACAAAAGGCGTAAAATGTCCCCGACATGCTAAACTATAGCCAATAGCCACATTCTAATTATAAGGAATGCGGAAGTCTTTTCCCACGAGTTGCAAACAATTTAACGGAACCGAAACTTCCCGTATACATTCTGTGCTGCTCCGGCCGGAATGCAACTGAGCTAGCTCATATTGGCGTACCCTGTAAATATTTAGCTGCATTAAACGCTTAGAGAGCTCTTCATCAGCATTGAGACGGCCGAAGCACATCAACGCTGCATCAGGTGAGTCCTAAAGTAAGTGTTGCTAAATGCATACCTAATATTTTAAACGCTTTCATTTTTATTAGTATTTAATGCGTACGCATTCAAATATTTTATTTTCATTTTAAATATAATATATTGTTTTAAACCGCGCAGTGAACGAAGCAAATAACCGGAGTACAGAAGTATTGGTTTCCGGGAATGTAAGCTTCAAATATATTTTTCATAAAACAGGAACTGCGCTGCTACCTTTGCACATGAGCGCGTAATTGACAACACCCATTTTCCCAAAATACGGACTGCAGCTCAGGATTTTAGAACAAGGAAGAACATAATGGAAAGGATTGTAATAATAAAACGCAGCACCAAGCAGGCCGACCGCACAGGAGGGCACATTATGGCAGCGACAGACGTAAGAACGGAATTTGCCGATCTTGGAAGTTAATGGTATGAGTCGAATAAACGGACGACGAATAAAAACATACACACATTTCAGGTCGTTCAAAAAATTTAAGGAAAGATGCTTTAGTTAAGTGTTGATTATATTGCTTCCTGCTGCCTGATTAGCTTGAAAACCTTTTGAAAAACAATGGGCTCGGAATCCAACGAAACGTATTCACGTCGACATTGGGATTGCATATGTTTGAGTGGCAAAGGCAAAATCTCCTAGAATCTTACCTTGCTGTCCTCAAATTCAACTTGAAGGACTACGTGATACTACTTTTGGGGCCCACCGCTGCACTTGAATAAGCCCAATGATTGAATCTCAAAACGGGATGATTTTGTTTTGAGCCGACACGAGATGTCTAAACGGGGTGCGAGCTGTGCTTCATTGTAAGTGGACATTCTTACGTACTTCTGCTGATGAAGAAATTCGTTTGCACCCTTTTTGGGCATGACCGGTACCAAGCTCTAAGCACTGGAGCACATAGCATCAGGCAAGTACAATAGCAAGGCCCGCCAGCAGCGATGCAAATGATTTTTCGACAAAATGTCACGATCTTTTAGGATGAGTTTGGTGATACACTGAACTCTTACTTCAGTTAAAACTAAATAGGAGAGTGGACTCCATGTTCTGCAATTCTTGTACATTACGCGTAGAATGCAGAAACAACGTATAATCAAGCCTGTAGAGCTTTCAGAATGGGCTACTCCTCCAGTGTCTTCTCCAGAATGGCATCGGGCATCGGAAGCAATTCATGCCTATGAGAAACAATACATGGCACTGTCACCAGTTCACTAGAAGGTAAAACGCTCTTGTTGTGATCTACACTTATAGCAAGCAGCCACGGGTACGCCAAATGTGGTGCATTTGATCGAGGTTTCTTATCGAAGCGTTTCAGAATTTATAGTCGACTTCATGATACCAGAACATGCATTCACACATAACGGTACTTCGTTCGTATGGCTACAAAACAGAAGTTCTAAGAGGAAGGCTGAAACAAAACATATCTTAAGTGCGCCGTACCGCCTGGCACGGCGCCCCTTCAGCACCATTGGTAAAAATAAAACTGGTAGCTTGGCATGTTGACTTACTCGGGTTTCGATAAAGGAGCACACGTCCACAAGCGTGATCACAGAAGGCTCGCCACCTACAATGGTGTTTGGTCGACTGCTAACTGCAGTCAATCTCCTATGTGGAGGAAATATCTAATAATCTTCCAAACCACACCAGTGGAGAAGAGGCGAAACATAGAGCGGTCTTGCGTTTTTAAGACGTTTTATTTGCCAAAAACAATCCCAGTGAGAAATTTCACAGAAGCAGAGCGGTGGATGACAAGAACCGTCACGAAGGGATTTGAATCTCAACCGTGGCTGATGACTACCAAGCGAGGTGCCTTCGATGCAGCATAGAGTAAGTCAGCAAGCGAACTCTAAATGATCTAGGGCGTCCAATTGCTAAAACCTGTTCGCATGACAGCAGCGAGAAGCCGGCCGAAGGTGTTCACACCAGTAGACTCTTCCCATCAGTTGTGAGTCACCGTATCGGAGCACGCAACAGCGTCACGAGATCCACGTATTCGACGGTACCGTTCCTGTGTAAGTGTACACAGAAAATAAAATGTCCTTCACCTTAAATGAGGCAATATCAGGGTATACCAAAAATGAGAGTGGCATTCCAGCCAACAGTAATTTATCGAGAATGGAGACTGTGTTACCATTTCCAGTCCACATGTTTCGTATGCAAGCATGAGATGAATTCGAAAGCTCGAGAATGTGGCAAAACACAAAAAGATGACGGCAGAAATAAAATATCAGGACACGAAGCCTAATTTTTTCTACCATAAGTAGTTAAACGGCTGACATAGCGCTGCAAAAAGCAATGAATTGAATATTACACATTCTTAGAAACGTAATTATAGTTATTTAAAAATGGTCTTCAATAAGCGCTGTTTGCTTAGCAAGCAAGCAGCGCTTAGCAAGCAAGCTTGCTTAGCAAGCAAGCAACCATTATAGATTGCTACGTGCAAGACGCCTTACACGAACAAGGCCAAACGTCTTCTGACATTGCGGGTGATATCGTGAGGCTAACGAAACCCAGAAAAAAAATACAAAGAAAAAATTGCCTTCATTTTTCAAACAGCACTTAACTATTGCAGAATCGTGAAACTTCCAGACATTGCACGTCGTGAAACGGAAATATTTATTGACTTTAATAAACCAGAGATATACTCTATATTTACCAGCCTAGTGGTTTTTAGTCCAACATCTATATTATTCGCCCTCAAAATCTGTGCCACGTTCTCAAGGCTAGGTTATCTAAAACGTTAACCTGAAAAAAAAAGAAAACTTTTTACAATTCTATATGGCGGGGTTAAAATCCCACCAGCTTTTTGTCGAATACGGAGAATGAACGAGATAGTCAAAATGTTCAGAATTTGTTTACGCTCTCTAGAACCACGAACAAACAATCAGAATGTCTTTTTATCCTCTTGAGCCTATACAAGGCAATTTCACACAGCTAAACCCCCTAACTTACACACAGGTATTTATACCATATATTTTTAGTTCATTTTGAAGAAAACAATATGCCGCTCGGAGCAGCTACCTCCAGTCATATGGTCCTCGGAGGGCACCCGCCTGCACTGATTACACTTTGGCCACCTATGCTTATATACTATTATTTAAGAAAGGAACGCTTCGGGGGGGGGGGGGGGGGGGGGGGGTGTTTAGAACATGTCAAACGGCAGTTGAATACATTTTTAATCCTCAAACCGGCTTTGCAAAGCATAGAAAAAGTAACACCAAAACGGTCTATAAGTAAAGCTGGGACTGCGGCGAAGTGCCTTACCAACACATCTGTGGCACATACAGGTGCCTGAGGCGACTAGAGCCTTTGTATCGCTACGGCTTAAGGAAACAGCAATTAATATGCGTTAAAAGCGGTTTCAAGACTCTGTCACATCCTTGTCCCATAAAGAAAGCAAACACGTATATTAAGCTTTTTTTCAAATTTTTCTAAAATCTTTTTTTTCGCAACCCAAAAGAAGAAAAAAAAGGTAAACAGATATTTTTTTTAAAACAGCTGTCTTTTTGCTGAGCACTTCTCCGGTTACTTTTTCTCCAGTATTTCTAAATTACGTGCACTTACGCTAGAAGCTTTTACTAAAGCAAAGTTAACCTTACCAAACGACGCAAAACTGTTCCGTCCAGTTGAAGTGCAATGCACTTGTAATCTAAGTTATGAAAAAAAGTAATTTGATTCTGAAAGAGCGTAACAAGAGTTTTGAAGATACAACGATCCAGAGCCGCTTTATTATGTTGGGAGGTCCATAAAACAGCTCCTGCTAAAAAAAGTCTCAATTGAGAAAGACACGAAAGGTGTAAAGAAGAAGATCGGCTATAGCTCAAATAATGGTTTTACAACGGCGAACTTCTTTTGCAGTGCGCTGTTTCTTCTTTAGTTTTGTAGGACGCTTCGTTTAAAAATTTAGTAGAAGGATAAAAACGCACACACACACAGACACACAGACACCAACTCTTTTTCCCGGTTTGCTGAAGAGTAAGATTAAATATAAGGAAAAAGGATAATAGCGAACCTTCAGGGCATGATGGAGCTGTGATGATATGATTGATGTGGGATTTGAAGTGGGAGCGCTATAGCCACTTTTTTTTTCACA